TTCCCTTCTTCTGACACATCCATGTTCCTTCTTTCATTCAACATTTACTGGGTTTCAAGTCTTGGGCTCAACCCCAGGAATATATATCAGTAAACATCCAGCCAAGTGCTGAACCCAGTGGCCCCCTCTCCCGCTCACACACATCCCCACTCTACCTTATGGAAACTGTGCAGATGTAGAGGCTGTCCACAGAGCTGCAGAAACAGGGCCAGGAGCTGGGGGCAGAGGGTGGTGGGACGTAGGAGGTGCCAAGAAGTGAGCAAGGTCACTGAGGTAAGCGTCCCAGGCTGGTCCCTCCCACCTACCCAGTAAGTAGCCCCCTCCCTCAGTGGCCAGAGTGAGAACAAAAAGGCATAGAGCTGAGCAGAAAGGAAGGGCTGAGGTGGGGGTTTAGACCAGCTGCCCCTGGACCCACCAATAGCAGGGATGCATATGTGGCCAGTAGAGAGATGACCAGCAGGAATGCCAGGGACCAGTCCATCCAATGTCCCCAATGGCGAAATAGGAATCTGTGGGAGGGGAGAGGAAGGTATCCAAGTGGAGGAAGGGGTGTCAATAGTGGCCTGAGGGGAGTTGGGGTGGGTGGATCCAGGGGGACCAGAAGGGAGTGAGGAAGAAGCCCTTCATAGGGCCAGGGAATCCAAGGACTGAGATTTCATGGAGGGATTTTCTAAGGAGATTGGGTAGCAGGAGAGCTGGACTTGAGGGACTAGGCAAGCCTGGGGAATGACTGACAATGGAAGCTGAGCACCCAGGGGTCCCAGGGTAGGGAGTAGGTTGACATGTATACTGAGGAAGGGGTGGGAGGGGGTCCATGACACACTCATTGAAGTTGTGCAGGTCATTGAGAAGGATGAGCCCGATGTACAGCCAGCCCAAGGAGAGGAGGAAGGTGAGGAAGACCAGGCCAAACCAGATGCAGTCACACTGCAAAGGGGCAGGAGAGAAGCTTACAGCTGATGTCTATTTTGAGCTCAGAGTCCCCAGTGCATGGCAGCTGAAGGGAACTTCCTGCCATGCATTGGACTGCTCTGTTCTAGAACAGCTCTTTCCATATTTGAGGGAGATTTTCTTCCTGGGGAGAGAAAGTCCCTTCCCCCCAGCTGCCTGTGAGCACAATTGGCCCTCTTATCCCCTCCAAGTGGGCCTTTGCCATCTGACTTCCAGCCTCCCCCTTCCATCCCTACTCTACCTTGCTGGTTTGCATCCTCTCTTTGGGGTATTTCCTCCAGTGGCAGCTATACAGGCAGTGGAGGCAGCGGGCCCAGATGGAGCAGCAGCCGGGGGACTCGGCCATGGTGAAGGCCTGGGAGGAAGGGACACTTGGCCATCAGGGAGCCGGGCAGAGGACAGATCCCAGCCTCCCTCCCAGTGCAACCGAGGAGCCTGGGGAAGGGTCAGACGCCTGTGCTGCTGCTTAGCAACGGAGGTCATGGGGTATGCCCAGAGTGCCAAATTGGATGAGGCGACCAGCTCCAGGCCTGGCAAAAGGAGACAATCTCCGGGGTCTTTCTTTCCCTTTAATCTTGACACCTGGAAATTCAGTCGAACACCCAGGAGGTCTATAGCCTCTTTGCAGGCAGGTTGCATACCCACTCTCTCCAGCTTCTCCCCATTTAACACAGCACCTAGTTCTAGGGATGGAGTGCTTGCCTGGGGGAGGGAGGGTGGTAGTAAGAATTTAGGAGAAACTGCCCAGGGTGGAGCAGTTTCAGCAAGTTGAGGCAGTCCCAGGTTGAGTTGCCTTCTATCCCAGGAAGCAGGAATAACCTGAAGCATAGGTTCCAGTTCTGACCTGGGGCTAAGGAAGGCCCAGCTAGTTGGCCAGTTGCTATGGATACAGAGATTGCACAAGTCACAAAGCCTTGACTGAAAGATTTTGTGTCCACCTGGGGGAGCGGGGGCGGGTAGGGGGCATTGCCTGAAAGAGGAAGACTTGAGGGGAACAGGTTGTTTGGGTCATTCCTGGCTTTCTAAAGGAAACCTTTTCCTACCCTCACATGCCTTGAAAAAAAGTCCAATTTCTTCCACCCGTCTTTTCCTGTCTAGTCATCCCCCCACCCCAACAAGAAACTGAGACCCACCTTCCTCCCTTCAAGGGCCCCACCCTCTGAGTTAGCTCTGGTGAAAGCACAACAAATACAGGGCAAAGGTGTGTGTGTGTGTCTGTGTGGTGTGGGGGGGTAGTTGTCTTGGGTCAAAGGATCTCTGTACCTTGTGCTTCCGGGTCTAGCTGAGACCAAGCTGATCCTCAAACTGGGGTGGGGTGTGATTTGTGTCATCATCTGTACGTGCGTTTGCACTAGTGGCTATCAGTACAAGGAGTTTTTAGGAGACTTTGAGTATATAAAGGAGCCTCTGGATATATCCAAAGTGTGTGTATGGTCTAAGGGATAGGGCTCCTTGTCATCAGAGCTCCCCTGAGGCTATGGACTTGTAGGGGGGGTGCACAGTGGCTGGGCCCCTGCAAGAAGGAAGGGTATGGTTGTTCCTGAACTGCCTTCTACTCTATGCTGCTGGAGGATGAGGGTGGGGGGGCTAGGAGTAGGGTTAGCTTGGGGGTAGAAGAGTGAGGAGCTGAAACTTCTCTCTTCCCCAGGAAAAAACCAACTCAAAGGGAGACGCCTGCCTCTACCCATCACAGGGCTGGGTTCAGTCCTGCCCTGAGCTCTAGTCCAAACCTCTTGCCTCCCTTCAGACACTGCCTCCAGAGTCCCACCTCCCTTCAGTTGTCTGTAGGACAGTATCAGGATCTGAGCAGCCTGAAAACCCCCAACAGTGGAGCTGACAGGGGTACTGCTCAGTTCCTGGGTCCAATCCCTGCTGAGTGGTCTCCACCCCAAAGTTCCCACCTGTAGCCCCCCCAGTCTTCCCAGGCCCTCACACCTTTTCTCAGCGGCAGCTCTGCTCTGCTCTCTGTTCTGCACTGCTTCCCAGCTCCTCTTCGAGTTGTCTGCCTCCTCCCTTCACCAGTCCTTCCCTCAGCCACCGGTCAAACAGGTGGCACTGTTGCCACCTACAGGAGGCTATGTGGGTCCTCTCTGAAATCCTGCAGCTGCTCTAGGGCCTGGGCCCAGGGGGTGGGAAGATGGGAGGGAGCAAGAGGGAGGGAGAGCAAATCTGCTTCTTTACTCGCTGGCGGGGGCTTGGGGTGAGGAATTCCTTTGTGAAGCCTTCCCCATCCCTCTGTCCCTCCTCCTGTTCCCCTCCTAGTCACTACTGGGCTTTTGTCCTGGCTCAGGGAGGCGAGGGCTGAGGGCATAGGCAGGCGGGAAGCTGGGGGGAGGTGACCACACAAACTCTGAAACTTGGCAGTGAGGAGAAGGGGCCCAGTCAGTCCCCTGCAAAGGAGTGTGTGTGTGTGTGTGTGTGTGTGTGTGTGTGTGAGGATGTCTAACATCTAGCCTCAAGCTCCCTGGGAGTAGTTTTGATTTATTAGACTCTTTTCCCTCTTGGGCTCCTACTTCTACATCTGCAAGGTACATCTATAAGAAGCTGCAAGCTACTTCCTGAACTCTGAACAGCAGATTGTCCTGTTTCTGAACCAGGGATCCCCATGGGTCTCATGGACCCTCAGTGATAGCCCTCCCCTTCCTCCAGACAGGAGGTGCTCATTCAGGACTTGCTGAGACTTGCGCCATTCCTGCTGCCGTGTCCTCAAAGTATCTAAGTCTCTTTCCAAGAATCCTTTGAGAAGTGTATAGTATGTTAAGGCCATAGGCTTTTTGGAAGATGAATACACACAAAAGATGCTGTTACTATAGCATCAACAGGAGCGGGCTGGCTAGCAAGTTGTAGAGTCTGCTTAGTGCTAAAGCACTGACTGACCTTCCCCTTCTACATTTTGGCAGATGCAGTGACTTGAGGCCTGGGGACTAGTGTAGTGTTGGTGAGAAAGGATGTTGTCTCTGGGGATAAACCCACTTAGCCCGCCCCCTACACGCACTGGTTTTCAAACAATGAGAAGGAAGACTGGCTCTCTTATGCCAAGAGCTGGCCCTCCTCCCTCTCAGCCTTCCCATTGTATCCAGAGGCTCTAGTGGCAATGGCAGAGGCTCCCTTGCTCTCTCAGCATTAAAATGCAAAGAGAAGCAGGGCTGCTTGCTGGCAGGAGGCCAGGGAGGGCCAGTGGGTCACCTAGTCCTCTGCAGGCTTCATTCTAGGCAGATTGTTGTTCAATTTATTTTGCTTGAGCTCTGGTGGATTCTAGAAGAGTCTTAGCTTTTGAATCCTTGGAGATGGTTTGAAAGCTTTTTGGACAAGAAAAGCTTTTTGGACAAGCTTTTTGGATTCAGAATGCATGGATATGAAGCCCAGGGCTTATGAACTCCTCAGAGGGCTACAAGTCCAGTCAGCAGACTGTGCATGGCATTCCAGAGCTGGCCTCCTTTTAGCTTAAGCAGGGATGGAGAACTCTGATGCATATTAAGGAGTAAGCCTCTCCTCCTTTTCTCCCCTTCCAAAGGAGAAAGTAAGAAGCCAGTGCTATTCTGTCCTGGGATCAGATAGCAGTATGTTCTCACGCCCCTCCTACACCAAGAGATCAGGCTGCAGGGCACCAGTAACAGCTGCTGCGGGCACACTAGAGAATCACACAGAAGCTTGGATGTTAGATCTGGGTTCAAGTGCTATCTCTATTACTCACTAACTTTGTGACTCTAGATAAGTTATTTCTTTGTACTCCAGTTTTCTCATCTGCAAATAAGAACATCTATCTACCCTGAGCTTTTTTTCTAGGGAGCAGAGATAAAATTATAGCAGGAACATGGAGATGGTTAGTAAATGTGGTTTCTTCCTCCTAGATCTGGAGTTCAGGCAGTTTCTACAGTGGAGGTAAGGTCACTGGCCATGCTAGCATTATTCCAATTTCCTAGGGTAACAAAGAAACATAAAGATATAACATCATGCTCCATACTATCTTCTGGGAAAGAGGGCAAGTACAAGAAGGCTGGGAGGTTCATGCACTTGTAAGGAACTTCCTTAATTGCTTTCCCAGGGGCTGAGGAACACAGGTTGAAATTTTATTTCTTCCTCTAGCACAGAAGGAACTTCCTGAACAGTAGTTGGGCTAAGGTTTATTTACTTACTTTAACATTTAAAAATAATTCATTTACTTCAGCAACATGGCAGAAAATTGAGGGTATTATTAAAACACTTAAGATCCAGAGAGGGGCAGGGCAGGAAAGATTCCAACCCCACTCCTGAGGTGGGGTGAAAGATGGGAGCCAGGCCTCCATCCTAGGCCAGGCTCCTTCATTAAGCAGAAACAACCTAGAGATAAGAAAGTCTTGGTCTCATCCCCATAAGGAAACAGCCATAACTGCTCACAAATAAAGAGCTAGATTGTACTGGGGACTAGTTCTTGATGAGTCAGTAGGAAAATCAGTTGGTTCTCTCTTCATTAGGTAGCTTAGCACCCTTCTGGAGAAGATAGAGTAGTAGTCTGGGGCTGGAGAATGAGGGCCAACATCCAACAAATGTTACTTTCCTTTCAGTAACATTCTGTTCCTTTTTTGCAACAGCAAGAAACCTGAAATTCAGAGGAGTCATTAAAAAACTCCTGAAAGCATCTCCCAAGCCAGACTTGAGGTGGAGATGATGACTCCAACTTCAGCGGGCCTCTTCTTCGATAGGAGAGCAGCCAGAGAAGAAGCTGGTATTACTGGCCAGAGCTCGTTTCCTTTTCTTTCCTGGAGCCTTATTTTCTTGGGATTCTGCTGCTACATGTTTCAACTCTGAGAGGTCAAAGGAGGAAGGAGCTGGAGCAATCTTCTTTAACAGAATTTGTTCTACATCACACATCTCTTTCAGGAGCTAGGAAGGACAGAGACAGGTATAAATATACTTTGGAAAGGTTTAGAAGCTCAGCCCATCAAAGCCACCACAGATGCTAGGCATATAAGGGGAGACCCAAAAAACCCTGAAATTTATTTATAAAAAATTGTGTATTTATTCTTACATGTTTAAACTTCAGTACTCTCTGTTTGATGCAATATACCTATTGAGATGCTTTATCTACTGCTCAAAACAGTTTTTGAATTAGTCAATTTTGATGCCTTTTAGTGCTTCTGCTATTTTTTGCTTTACCTCTTCTACATTGGTGACACATTTTCCTTTGAGGACTTTCTTCATCCAGGGAAACAAACAAAAGTTGCTCAGGGAAAGAGTGAATAGGGAAGGTGGGACATGGGGGTCATGCCAGTTTTGCTTGTGTGGTCAGGTTGTTTATGTACATCACTCATCATGAAATGGACAGATGTGTTGAAAGACTCTCCAAAAATAATTCACTGAAGCCAAATGCAGCCTCTCACGACAACGCTAGCTGATACACTGATGCCAGTGGGTTGAACACTAGCAGGGGAAGCCTGTACTACAAGAGACCCACTCTCCAAAAAAACAGTTCTTTCTTTTTTGTCCCCCGCATAATATTCCAAATAGTATGAGGCATCTCCTAAAATATGGAAAAACAATAGACCCTAGTCTGCCTGATTCCCAGTTCCTAGTCAGCTTTATATACCTTTACACCACCTGTTTTGTTTCCACTGGTCTCTGCCATAGCTAATACAGAGACAGATGCTAATACAGTTTTCCAATGCTGGCCTTTTAGCTCACCTACCTTGCTATTGGGAGTGGCACAGACAGGGTTGAAAAAACTCAAGCCTGGGGTCACCTCTGTGGGATCCTCTAGTTTGAAGGAACCTTCAGAATCCTGGGTCCGTTCAACAGTGCCCAAGCTATCCTGAAAGTCAAGCAGACAAACATAATATAAATTCGGCTACCAGGGTTACAAAATCAGCCTGCTTCTCTTCAATCAGTGAGGTAACAGCTCTGAATACCTCATTAATCAGTCTAAGCAAGTCTTAGGGAGGCCCTGCTTGGGGAGGTCATAGTGTTTGATGTGCTCTGTCTTTCAATGAATGGAGCAATGCTTAGAGGCAGCCTCTAAGGCAAAGGACTAGGTAGGATAGAGCATAGGGTTTAAAACAAGGCCAAACCTCCGTCATTTCTTTGATTAAACTCCCCCGTCTGCAATCCCTACTGGATGTTGTCTATATCAGTTCTACCTTCAGGTAAGGAAACTGAGTCTAAGAGAGAGAAGTTTTTTGGTAACAAGATGAATCTGTGGTAGAGCTTGGATAAGAAGTATAGCCCATTGTCATGGAAACAGCTAGATTAACAGTCAGGAAGCCTGAAGTCTAATCTTAATTATCATCAGTTGAGTTGCTTAACTTTATCTTTGGGTCTTAGTTTCCTTCTCTGTAAAATGGAAGTATTGCACTAGATAAGTGGTTTTAACAATCGAAATCCCAAGATAAAGCCCAATATGTAAACAAGTAAAAAATATGTTGCTTTGGTTGAAGTGGAATTGAACCACTTCAGACCATACCCCTCTGCCTCAAGCACCTTCATGGAGCTACTATGTAACTCTAGAACCCAAATTGAAAAACCACAGGAACAGAGGATCCTTAAGGTTCCTGCTACTTTTACGATACGTAGCCTGACCTCTAGCTTGCCACTTAAGTCCTCTGATGTCTACTTATCTTAGAAGTCTTTTTCTAATAGAAGACAAAGGGCAAAACTGTTCACATGTAGGTGTTCAAGAAATGAACAATCAATGATCATTAGACCGTGCTTGCTAGAATTATTATATACCACATAGAAAGCTGTAGTAATGCACTTTTTGCCACAGGCACAGGTAGGTGTAAGGTAAGTATGGGTTCTGACCTGCTTGGTGCTGCTCTTCTCAAGGCACATTTTGTTCCCCTGAGTTTGCTGTTCCTGGGAGCAATATTATGAGGATAGCTATGTTAACTTGGTTCACAACAATGACTATTAGAAAGGCCTGGTTCCTGTGGGTCTTTTTCTAGAGCCATAGACTATAAGTTGGTTCTCACGGAAAGGGTCTAAGTCACTAATATCTCAAGATGTCAGTAGGATTAACTTCTTTCCTGGAAGCTGGCCACCCTCTTACAGTTCCAGCTAAGCTTTGGGCTAGTTTGATCCTGCATGTTTATATGCTTATAAATGTCTGCTTTTCTTGCTCCTTGTTCTGCTTCAGAAACTACAGAAACTTCACAGCCAAGGCTTCACAGCCCACGCCTGGAAGTGGGGAGCTGTATACCTGGTAATCTCCTGGGAAGGGATGTGGTTTCTGAAAGAGGTGTGTGGACAGGCTAGCAGGAAAGGATTGAGAAGTGAAATGTCTCTTTTTCTGGGTTCAGAGGGAAGGAGAAGGGCAGGCAGAGCTGTACAGGAGACTCCAGGTTTCAGGATGGAAGCCAGAAAAAAAAGGTGGAAAACAGCAGGAACTCTGAAGGGATGGTGAGAGGAAATAGTGCCAATCCTACCTTGCCTTGCTGGCGGTTCCGACACTTTGTGGGGTCACAGCTACAGTCCAGGCCACAGTCTGACTTTTGCTTTCTGCACCCACACTGCTTGTTCCCACACCAGCCTTTGCAGGAGCACTGTAAAACAGGTTTGCAGAAAGGCACATTACTGAAAGGGTTACAGTGCCTTCTCTTCATTTGCAAGCTTTTCTAGAAAAAAATGGAAAGTACCATCAGCACTTCTCTTCTTTAGTGAAACCATAATCACCAAGAACCTCTATAGGTTTACTAAGAAGACATCTTACCAAATACATTTTCTTTTTTTTTTTTTTATAAATAGAGACAGGGTCTTGTTGTGTTGCCCAGGTTAGTCTTGAACTCCTGACCTCAAGCTATCCTCCCACCTTGGCCTTCCAAAGTGCTGGGATTATAGGCATGAGCCACTGCACCTGGCTTCATTTTCTTTTTGAATTGTATATTTAAAGGACGGATCAGAGGGATATCATAATAATGCACAAAAACTGACAAAAAGACTCTTCTGACAATTTTAATGAGCAAAATGAAGAAAATATAGTAGTATAGTTAAGTACATTTAAGGACTGAGTATAGTTGCTCAATATCTTTAGACCCATCTAACTATACTTTCATCCAACTTACATTTCTATATGTGTCAGCCTCGGCTTTGTCCTCACCACATGTGAATAAACCAGTGATAATATGAAATAAATTGCAATTACATTTGATAGCATTTTATAGTTTTAAGAGTACTTTCTTATGTATAAATATGAAATCTCATTTGAATCTCAGAACCAGTCTATAAAGTAGGGATATTTATCAGCTTTAACAATGACAGAGCTGGAAGGACGATTATTATCTAAGATAACAGAATCACAATTCAAAAATATCTTGACAGGCTGGACTTCTGGGCTGAACATAGAAATAAATGAGACAACAGGGGTAAATGCAAGTTTGGCATTTAGGTTCCCCCCAAATCAGCTATATAAATGCAATATGGGGGGTGATATGGCTTAAAAGTAGTTTGTGCAAAAAGGATCTAGGGATATCGGGTATCAGCAGGCTCCATGAGACACAGCTATCCAAAATCAAATGGAGACAGGCAGAAATTTGGAATTCAGAAAACATGGGGAACAATTATTTCACTATACCCTAGATTAGTTGGACCCCATTTGAAATAATGCATCCTATTTTAGGACACCATATTTTTTCATGCATACAAAAGCATAGACAATAATAACTGAAAAACCCACTCATGTCCCCACTACCTACTACTTAATAAGTAAAATGCAAATATAACTGAGAAGTCTCCTGTGTACTCTTTCCTGATACCATTTTCCTCCCCCTTTCCAGGGATAAACAGTCTCCTGAATTATCTATTATTCCTATGCATGTCTTTTGCCACAAGATTTTGTTTTTTAAAAAAAGTAATTGTCTTATATGTTTCTAAACTTTATATAAATGGCATTTTTTTTTTGAGTTGGAGTCTCACTCTGTTGCCCAGGCTGTAGTGCAGTGGCATGCTCATGGCCACCACAGTCTCAACCTGCTGGGCTCAGGTGATCCTTCCACCTCAGCCTTCCTAGTAGCTGGAATTACAGGCATGTGCCAACACATCCAGCTAATTTTTTGATTTACTATAGAGATGAGGTCTTGCCAAGTTGCCCAGACTGGTCGTGAACCCATGAGCTCAGGCAATCCTCTCACCTAGACCTTCCAAAGTGCTGGGATTATAAGTATGAGCCACTGCACCTGGCCTGATAATAGTTTCTATATAACTTCTAACCACAGGACCCAATTCTTCCACCTGGAATGACATAAGTAAAGTAAAATGCAGATATAACTGAATCAGTTTAACCCTACTTTTTTTTTTTTGAGTCAGAGTCTCACTCTGTCGCCCAGGCTGGAGTGCAGTGGCATGCTCACAGATATTGCAGCCTTGACCTGTTGGGCTCAGGTGATCCTTCCACCTCAGCCTTCCAAGTAGCTGGAACCACAGGCATGTGCCACGATGTCCAGCTAATTTTTTTATTTATTTATTGTAGAGATGACATCTTACCATGTTGCTCAGGCTGGTCTCGAACTCCTGAGCTCAGGCAATTCTCCTGCCTCCATCTCCCAAAGTGTTGGGATTCCAGGCTTGAGCTAGTGTACCCGGCTAACCCCATTTTTATAGAACAGTTGTTCAAACCCTGAGCATAAGTTTTACTTCCTAGTCTCCTTTTGTTCAAATCCTCTCAAAGCTAAATATACCTAGTTCTCTCAATGATTAACCACATGATATGGTTCCCAAGTATTGCCACCACCTTGACTGTACACCAATTTGTCAAAATTTATCTTTAATTGTGAGACCCAGAAATGAGCATAACTTTCTAAATGTGGTGTGACCACTGTGAAAGTGGATTGTGACAAACACCTCTCTAGTTATGGACCTAATAGTTCTGTTATGAGCCCTAAAATCAGTTGCTTTTTTTCCCCTTCCTGTCACATCTTTGTGGATTCATACTGAGTTTACAGTCAAATTCAAGCCCTTAAGTATTTTTCATATGAGAATCATCACCTCTGATCTATAGTTGTAAAGGTAAAGGCAACCATAATATATTATTCTCATAATCAGAAAAAGATATAGCATTTTATAAAATTTAAAAACCAAAAATTGATTTTTTACGATTGTGTATAGTATTTCATCATGTGGATAATGTTGATTTATTTAACCAGTTCCCAGTGTTAAACACTAAGCTTTTTTTGTAAGAAATTTTGCACTATTATAAATCATGTTGCAGTAAGTATTCTTGTTTATAAATCTAATCTAAACCATACCAAGACTGACAAGGCCCTCCATTTCTGGCCCCTGACTCTCCCACTGCTCAGTACGCTCTAACCACACTGGCCTTTTCAGCTGTTCCTTGAGTTACTAAACTCATTTTTGCACTGAGGTCTTTGCATTTGCTATTCCTCTTTCCTGAAATGTTCTTCGTCTGATTCTTTCCTGACTTGCTCTTGACTTTGTCCAGATCTCAGCTTAGATATCTCCTGCTCAGAGAGGCCTCTCCCAAGCACTCTTCTAAAGTGCTCTTTTTCTAACCCATCATTCTCTATGATTTCACTATATTTTCTTTTCTTTTTTTTATCACCATCTAAAATTATTTTATTTGCTTTTCTGGTTACGGTGTCTTTTCCCCATAAGAAAGTCAGTTTCATTAGGACAAAGGTCTCACCTGTCTTGTTTATTTCATTCTTAGCACCTAGAAACAGTGCTTGGCATACAGGCACTCTGATAAGATTTGTTGAATGAATAAATCTATTTACATACCAATAACCATTTCCATAGTATAAATTCCTATGTGTATAATTACTGGGTCAAAGGATAGAAACATTTTAAAGGCTATTGATACATATTTTCAAATTGCCTTCCAGAAAGGCATGACATGTCCTAGAGACACCTCACCAGGATGACACTGATCCATTGATTGCTATAGCCTGGGTATGGTCCTTTGGCTATTTACAAATTCAACTAAATGCTTCAAAAATGCTGTTACTGCCGGGCTCGGTGGCTCAGCCTGTAATCCCGTGCTTTGGGAGGCTGAGGTGAGTGGATTGCCTGAGTCCGTGGGTTTGAGTCCCACCTGGGCAACTTGGCGAGACCTCATCTCTACAATAAATCAAAAAAATTAGCCGGGTGTGGGAGCGTGTGTCTGTAGTTCCAGCTACTTGGAAGGCTGAGGCGGAAGGATCACCAGAGCCCAGCAGGTCGAGGCTGCGGTGGCCGGGAGCGTGCCACTGCACTCCAGTCTGGGCGACAGAGTGAGACTCCAACTCAAAAAAAAAAAAAAATGCTGTTATTCTGTCCATGTTTCTCTATTTTATCCAAAGTGATAAGGAGAAAGAGGTATCTGAAGCACTGTCATAAAGAATGATTAGATTCTTACATAGCAAGACCCTGGGATGATTTATAGGACAACACATTTCAGTTAAACCAGGAACAACTTTCTAACAATTAGTAGAATACAATGAACTACCCTGTGAGACTGTGAGCTTCCCCCTTCTTCAAGTCTTCAAGGTTAGATGAACACCTGGTAGTGGTATTATAGAAGTCATGACACATGACAGATGTAGTCACATGAATGCTATGTGCACGAGATACGATTTCATCCTATTCTCTCTCATGCCAGGAAGATCAGAATGTTAGAAAGGGAGAAGTGTGACTTTAGCACAGACATAACCTCAAATACATATGTGGGGGTTGTATGTATATTACAACTGCTGGCAACCCATCACCATATCCTAGCACCATAGGTAAGAATAGAGAGATACTTTATACAGAGTGGAAAGTATTTCTCCTTGTAATTGCCTAAGGAAAACAAAACAAAACAACAACAAAAAAACAAAACCAGAGTAGAAAGTAGAGCTGAAAGACCTCTGGGGTTCCCTTAAGCCAGTGGTTCTCAATTGTAGTTGCACATAAGAAATCTCTGGGGAACTTTTCAAAAAGACTAGGTCCTGCCTCTGATCAATTAATCAGAATATCTAGGAGTGCAGCTCCAGGCTTCATGTTTAAAAGCTCCCTTGGGGATCACAATGTGCAGTTAGGGTTGAGAACTACTGCTTTGGGGTCTATAATTCTTCTAGCACTGGGTTCAGTGCTATACTGTATTTTGTATCTCAGAAGGATAAGATTTTTAACATAAAAATCACCAGGATTGGTAAGTGATGCTGCCACATACACACAAAAAATACCAGGCTAGGAATTAGGGGACTTGGGCTCTAGTCCTATATTTAATACTTGGCATAATCTTGGACAAGTCATTTCATCTGAGTTCTTTCATCACTAAGACAGAGAAAAAAATCTGCTCCCTTTTTTCTGCCAAAGGTGATAAATGAGAATATTTGCAAAATGTTTACAGTGCTTTTAATAATTCCTGCATGAATATTTTATCCTTCACAAAGCGCTTTTGCATTTATTCCTTCTAATTTCTCAGATACCATATGAAGGTAATATTATTAAAACCCATTTAGGCCGGGTTCAGTGGTTCAGCCTGTAATCCAAGCACTTTGGGAGGCTGAGGTGAGTGGATTGCCTGAGCCCGCGGGTTTGAGATCCGCCTGGGCAACTTGACAAGACCTAATCTACACTAAATAAAAAAATCAGTCAGGCGTGGTAGCGCACACCTGTAGTTCCAGCTACTTGGAAGGCTGAGGCAAAGGATCGCCTGAGCCCAGCAGGTCGAGGCTGCGGTGGCTGGGAGTGGCCACTGCACTCCAGTCTGGGTGACAGAGTGAGACTCCAACTCAAAAAAATAAATAAATAAAAATAAAACCCATTTATACCTTTGACTCAGGATATTAGCCCTGGAAGGGGCCTTATACATCATGTATTCTAAATCTAGTCTCTTCATTGCATAGATAAAAAATCTGAGGCCCAGGGAGATTAAGTGACATGTGCAAAGTCATCCAATAAACCAGTGGCAAACTTAAGACTAGAACCCATATCTATCTGGCTTCTACGTGATTATTTTTTCTACTATAACACATGACCTACCCTCCAGCAACTCTTTAGTACATATAAGAAACGTGGCTGAGCGAGGAAGCCATTAACTGGACAAGTCATCATTTCAGTGCCTGCTTCAGTCTCCTTTTCAGTAAGCCAGTGATAATATCAGCCAGCTTTAGCTGAGTTAAAGCAATAAAGATGGCCTTCATGCAAAATGTCAAGGTCTGTAGATAATGTATCTACAAGCAGTCTGATCAAAGAGCAGTCACAGCACCCATATATTTTGAGGTTGCTAAAAGGGAGAAGCTAGATTTTATGCCAACTTGCTCCCTTAAAGCTGTTATATCAATTTCCAAATTATAGAAAGAATCACCTTTCATTGTTTTAGAAATAGGATTTATCATTAATAGCAAATATTATTTACTTGCAATATTTGCTATACTTCTATATTGCCCTTGTAAGCTTAGAGCAAAAATGCTATAATAAATATACTAAGCTTTCCTTGGGCTCGGCTCATGCCTGTAATCTCAGTACTTTGGGAGGCCAAGGCAGGAGAATTATTTGAGCCCAGGAATTCAAGCCCAGCTTGGGCAACAGAGTGAGACTTTATCTCTACAAAAAATACAAAAATTAGCCAGGTGTGGTGGCTGATGCCTATAGTCCCAGCTACTCGGGAGACTGAGATGGGAGGATCACTTGAGCCCCGGAAGTCGTGGCTGCAGTGAGCTGGGATCACGCTACTGTACCCCAGCCTGGGCAACAGAGTGAGACCCTGTCTCAAAAAACAAACAAAACACCAAAAATCTTTCCTTGAGGACCCATATTTGCTTCATATCTGGAAATTCCTTTCCAGAGGTTTTAGGCCCTCTACCATTTTTCCGTGTGTACTTCTCAACTCTGCTTTCTATTACTTAACTGACCTTTCAATCTACTTTCAGCTCATGCTCTCCATTTCAATCACAGTGGAACATCCATAAATGTTTGTTGGGTAAATGAATGAAAGACAGACATGTTCTGCCCCATTTTCTCTAAGTGTCTGTTCCTCTACCATCTTCAAGTTTTTGCAATATGCTATTCATTATGCCAGAAATGTCTCACAGTTGTTCCCAAGACTGTATTTCCCTTTTTGTCTTTTTTTTTTTTTTTTTGAGTTGGAGTCTCACTCTGTTGCCCAGACTGGAGTGCGGTGGCCCGGAGCGGTAATTCCGCGCTTTGGGAGGCTGAGGTGAGTGGATTGCCTGACCCCGTGGGTTCGAGACCCGCCTAGACAACTTGGAGAGACCGCATCTCTACAATAGATCAAAAACTAGCCGGGCGTGGTAGCGTGCGCCTATAGTTCCAGCTACTTGGAAGGCTGA